AGCCCTGGGCTCCAACAAATCCCAAAGCAAACACACACACCAGGACAGCACCTCCTTATCCCTCAAATCCAGCAGAGGTTTCCAGAAAGCTTCTTAGAAAAATTAGGAGATGTCACTTTAAATCCGATCAAGGAAGACCTACAAAGAAAATAGATCAACAAAGAAAAGCTTGCTTCCCCAACAGGGGTTCTCACCTCTGCCTTTAATAACAGCTATCAAGGCTGACTTCTGCACTCAAGACAGACGATATCAGTCTTTTTATTCAGTGAGGATTTGACGTCTTTGCAAATGATCTGAAACAAATGTTATCAGCTGCTATCTTAGACCCATTTTGAAGACTCCCACCATAAGGGCAGCAGTCTGCCCTGAGCTATTTCCGCTTCCACCCACCGCTCCTATGCTTTTGCAGGGATTCAAGGCGGTCCAGATTCAAGGCCATTCACTTGTAATAAGTATTTGGACTCTCTCTGGCTAAGGCAGCAGACTCTCTGGCTCGGTGGAAATGGGCATGAATAAAACATTACGAACTTATTCCTCCTGATTTATTAGGGTCCACACTTTTGTGTAGAGGGGCAAATAAAGCAGAGAAAGTAAGGTCAGTGGCTAGTCTCAGCCACCTTCATCCCTGGGACAACTACAGCAATGTGTTACTCTTATGAGCCTGGGGATCCAGGAGGTGAGAGAGAGGATTGAGACTCAGAATTTAAAATCTTTACTAAGCCATCTCTGTATGTGAAGTCCATCTCTGCCTGGTCTCCAGTTTGCAGCAGGTGCAGACATGACTTTGGTCTCTTCTTCACATTGCTTGCATGGTGAAGCACAGGCCCAGGATGGGATACAGGGCTTTCTTATCGACTCTTACTTTTCAAAAACTGCCTTCATGTCCTTCCCACAACCCAGAAAATCCCACTAGCAGCTTTCCTACCTCTATTCAACAGACTTCTGAAGTAGTTTTCAAAAGCCTTTGCAAGACTTTGCCTTGTCCTGTCGTACTTCATCTGTGCTTTTGAGCGAGACCACCTCCTAAGCCTCCCTGCTCACTCTGGCCAAGAGTAATTTTGATGTTGGACCCCTGTTTGTGACTGGTAGGCTGTTCCTAGGAGTGACCTTATCTGAGCCATCTTGGGTTCAGTGCATACCTGGCTAAACATCACTTGGAACTTGACTAGGATTGCAGCAACAGATGACTGTGGGTGCTGGGAACTGAACCTGGGTCCTCTGCAAGAGCAACAAGTGCTCTTAACCGCTGAAGATCTCTCCAGCCCACTATGTTTCTCTTCTGGAATCCATACTATGTATGTTGTTTTTCCTGAGACACATTTTACAAGCATAGTATGTAACACTCTTCAGGATAAAATCTAGAGAAATAGTCTGTAAATAAATAAAATAACCAATAAAAAAATAAGAAAAAAGAAATAATCTTGTTTCCATTTTTAGGAGGCAGGATTTTAGGTTGCTGGGTTTTTTTTTTAAGTGTGTGTGTGTGTGTGTGTGTATGTGTGTGTTGTGTGTTGGGGGAAGGGAAGATACTAGCACAAACAGCATGCACAGGGGGCAGAAACTGACTTTGGATGTCTTCCTCTATTGCCTTCCATCTTATTTTTAAAGGAAACATCTCTTACTGAACCCAGAGTGGACTGACTAGGCTGTGCAGCCCAGCACGTCCACTGTCTCTGCTCCTGATTCCCAGGGCTAGCCTTCATGCTGGTTCTTGGATCCCAACTCATATTCTAATCCTTAAAGCACTGCACTTCATCCACTGAGGCAGTGCTGCAGGCCTTAGTTTGGTTTCCTGGCATTGTTACGTGGGATGGATAATAACCCTTCTTTTCCTCAAAGATTTATTTATTCTATGTATGTGAGTACACTGTAGCTGCCTTCAGACACACCAGTAGAGGGCATCAGATCCCATTACAGATGGTTGTGAGCCACCATGTGGTTGCTAGGAATTGAACTCAGGACCTCTGGAAGAGCAGACAGTGCTCTTAACCACTGAGCCATCTCTCCAGACTGGATAATAACCTTTTCAAGGTTTTGGGTTTTTTATTTTTATTTTCTGTTATTGCTGGAGATTGGATCCAGGACCTCATACATGCTCCCTAGCATTAGTGTACATACATACATACATACATACATACAGACATACAGACATACAGACAGACAGACAGACAGATGTACATGCGTGCACACACACACACACACACACACACAGAGTAATTGTCTTAAATTACATTTATCAGAATAACCGTTTAGCAGCTAGACTTATTGTTGCTGGGCTTCCATCTGCTGAAGAAGCTATCCTTTTTCCATAAAGCATCTATAGCTTATTCATGAGGGATGTATTGCTTTACTTTGATCATCAGTGTCCATTCTTTGCCAACACTGCAGTCTTGACTATAGCATTAGACTGTGAGGACCTTGATAAAGTTCCACACTGACTATGGGACTTAAACAGTAGACTTCTCCTTAGTTATGGAGCAAGAAATCCAAATTGAGGTGTTGGCAAATTCCTTCTGTGGGTTTCTCTTCCAGGCAGTAGACGTAGGTCTCTTCCTGACCACACATGGTACACTCTTTATGAGGCACTCTTGTTCCATTCTCTCTTACAATGACACAGACACCATTGGATTAGGATTTACATATTCGTCCTCCATTTTACTTTAGTTGACTATTTGTTTTGTTTCTACATCCCATAATATTGTGCATACTGAAAGTTAAGTTGGAACTTAAATATCTGAATTTTAAGGGTGCCCCTAACAATTATATAATGGAGGCACTATTCCTCCCCTATTCCTAGCCTACTTTACCTGGCCCTTCTATGTTCCACCAGCACCTCAGCTTGTCCTGCTTTCTCTGTACAAGTCACAGTGCAGCTCAAACTCTGAAATCCTACAAACTGCCCCGGCAGGGGTCTTCTCCCAGGCCCTGATGAAGTCTAGGGGACTAGCTTTAGGATCCACCATAAGTCAGAACCATAAGGTAAGAGGAAGACTGCTGGGGTGCATAGCCCTGTGGGAGGAAGGGCCACAGTAGTCAAGACTGGGGCCAATGCTGTGGGGCCCTAGAGGCAGAGCCAAAGACAAGAAGTCACTAACTTATGTCCCCTGGTCAAGGCCATGAAGATCAAGTTCCTGAAGATCTTCCTGTTCTCCTGCCCACACAGAAACATGAGATTATTGACCTTTTCCCTTGATAAATGTCTGAAGATCAGGCCAGGGTTGAAGCAAACTTGGGCTAGCTGTCCTTGAAAGCCACTGGGGACTGCAATAGTTATGTTGGCCTGAGTGACATGAGTCCCAAGGATGTAGCTGCTGGCACCCGTGTCCCAGAGCAGAGGCTATGTCTACCGGTGAAATAAGAATAAAAGAGTCCACACTATACTGTGTGAGGGGACAGGTTGCTTTGGCTCTGCTGGTGTGCCTCATCCCTGCCCTGAGAAGCACATCACACCCATTCTTGTATTCAAGCTGCTGCTGCTGGCCAGCGCTGATGACTGCTACACATAAGCAGGGGCTGCACTGACATACTGGGCAACTTCACCACAGTCACCTTTGATGCTATCTCTAAGACCTGGAGTTACTTGACACTTGACTTCTAGAAAAAGAGTGTATTCATCACCTTGTGAAAAGTCACAACAGTCTTACTGTAGAGGACTCGGGCACTAGATGTTGCTCCCACATAAAGCTTTTATACCAAGTACATACATAGATTTTGAAAAAAAGTTGGATTCAAGTTATTATTTAAAAAATTATTTTCAGGCCAATAGTAATAAGAATTAGCAGAAATTGTAACCAGTGGATTTCAAATGAGAAGACAAGGGTTTAAGATATGTCAGCTCAACAGAGCAACTTCACTGTAAAACAGACTCACATCTAGTTCCACATCTGTCTGCATCTGTTCTCTTTCCCTGCCTCCTCTGTCTCCTTCCCTCCCTTTCTCGGAAGAAAAACCACTTTTTTTAAAATGTGTGTGTTTCTTTTGCTTGCATATGTATATGTGCACCATGTATATGCCTGGTGCCCACAGAAACAGAAAAGGGTGTGAGATCCCCTGGAACTGGAGTTAAGGATAGCTGTGTTGTGAGCCACCATGTGCATGCCGAGAACGGAACCCAGACCTCTGCAAGAGCAGCCAGTGCTCTTAATGATGGAGCCATCTCTCCTGCACGGTCTTTCTCTTTTTTTTCCTTTCTTCCTTTTTCTTGGTTAAACCTTTGTCAAGATTGTTGAGCTACTCTAGATAAATCTGTCATATGAATTTTAGAAAAACATGGCTGAGATTATCATAGGAGTTGCACAACAAATCTATGAACCAATTTTGGCAAATTTCACACCTTTGAGTTTCCTAATGCTTGACACAGTCTCTCCATTTATATAGTCTTCTTTGTTTCCTCTTGACATTTAAAAAATTATTTTTAATGTAGAAGTGATTTGTCTGCATGTACACCTACATGCCAAGAGAGGCCATCTAATCTCTTTAAAGATGGTCATGAGCCACCATGTGGTTGCTGGGAATTGAACTCAGGATCTCTAGAAGAACAGCTAGTGTTCTTAACTGCTGAGCCATCTCACAATCCCTCTTCTTGACATTTTTAGATGTACATAATTCCTTACAGACTGTCGGGTTTGCATAAACTAGGACTTTCACTGCATCCCCCAGGGGTATATTATATATTATAGTATTTGGGCTTTTGCTCAACTACTATAAAAGGCCTTTCTAGAGCTCTCTGATCCTAAAGTATGTCATGGTTCTCCACAGTGGGTGCTGGCCCTGGCCACCCTGAGTGATAAACCAAACTCTGCATGATTAGAGGTGTCATGTATCAGACTTCGTCCCTGAGGAGTCTTGGATGGACCTCCATGTATATAATATCTGGAAACCCTAGGGTTTCCAGACTTGAATTTTAGAAATATGTATTTGTGGCATGATTACTATTTTACCACTTTTCAATGCTACTGTCTTTTATTTCTAGTTAAACTTTCAAAGCAAACACAAAAGCACAAGAGATTAAAAAATTTTATTAAGTATCCCAAAGTAGATTGTATATTACAAATTCAGATCAGAGTAATAATATTAAAACTATTTTCAGTAGTACCATAAACTATACCTGAAGATAAAACCAAATATTAAACTGGTAAGCATATACTGAAATCTCATGTTTAAAACAACTTTGTCTAAAAAATTCACATATATGTGCCATAGTCATATGTCATAGGTTGACAGATCTACATTTAACAAACTCATGAACATTTTCATGCTTAGAATAAACTGTCATAAGGTTGTACAAGCTTATAATTTTTAAAGTGCATGACAGAATACTTTATATGACAAACGCTTTCCAATCCATTGCCTTTCTGTGAAAGCTACTCATAAGTAGACAGAAGTCTAGATGACTAAATGGGCCCTCAGACAATCTCTATTAGGTTAGGTCCAGGAATTATAGGAGCAAATTTTAGCCCAGGTGTTCTGAGGATTCGGAAACAAATTCCTCAGAAAATTTATATTTGCCTATTTGTCCTATACAAAAGGCATCAACATCAAATTGATCTGTTTGCCTACAATTAACTACTTAAAACAGCATTACATAACCTGGTGACTTTTGCCTAGCTTAGATAATAAAAACATAAATCTGTGGGCAGATGATTGACAGGAGTATATTCTCATTCTCTTGGTCTCTTGTCTCTCTTTCTCTTCCCTCTGACCTCCCTCAATACAGGGTCTTACACTGTAGCCCAGGATAGGCTGGTACTCACTAGGCAGCCCAAGACGGCCTTGAGCATGTGGTTAAGTCTTCTGTCTCAGACTTCTGGTTCTTTGTACTGAATCCAGACCTCACTCACACTGGGCAATTAGACTACCACTAATTCTACACAGAGTAGGCAGTTAGCTAAGCATTCCAAAATCTTTGGTTTCCCAGATCATTATATATAGTGATATTTGCTGCCCAAAGCTAGAATATGGAAAATCAAGTCCATATAGACTAGGCACAAAATTTAAGAGTAATCTGACTGGGCTTAAAAGGAAACAGTATGGGATAATATTAGAAGACAGCAACTTGGTCAACTAAATGAGAACCAGCTGTTTCAGGTAGATGTAATATGGCAATGGCTCTGAATTCATAAATCACATAATTTGACCTATAATGCTTAACTACAATAACAACTTTTCATTACATTTATTTAGTGTATGTGTGTGCTGTCCTCTCATGCTAGAGAGGAGTTCTGAGCACATTGCTGCCTGCGTATTGAGTGACAGGCAATTTGAGGTTCTCTCCTTCCACTACTTGGGTCCCAGGGATCAAACTCATAGTGAACTAGAAAATGGCACATCTCATGAGAACTTACTTAACCCTGGGCCTGAATGGAAGCACTCATGTCTCATTTAGTCCTTTAGACATCTCAAGAGTCAGAAAGCACAGGTGATATCTTCAGCCATAAACTGGTCTATTTTTTTGTAGATAAGGCTTCCCCTCCCTTGATTCCCTACCCCCCACCATCCAATAAAGGTAAGAAGGTAGCCTGAGAATTCTGGACAAGAAGAACTATCCCTCCTCAGCATTCTTTGTCACCTCAGGCCTTCCATGGGGAATGGCAGGAACACATGCCACTGAGGCCCTGGAGAACTCATCAAGCACTGAAGTGTCATGGAGGCCACACTAAGAACTGATCTCAGCTACTCTTAGGGATGTCCAGTTCTAGTTACTATTATTTAATCTCAGTGGCCAATGTCACTAACTGTAGCCAAGAGCAGGGCAAGTCCTCCATGCTTAGGAAAGTAGCTGGCTGTTGTAAACTGAGAAAGCATCTGCTTCTCAGGGTCTCTCTGGAAATATCCTTGGCAACATAACTACCAACAAGTTAATATAAAAGGTATCTTCAAGCAAACCAGGCAAATGGACCAGAAAGTAGTCATATTAGGAGAATAACAGCATATTCAGGGAGGGAAGAAAAGTGTCAGCTGAAAAGGGTCAGGTGGTGGGCACACCTGACCCAAGGTCTCCAGACACTCAGCAGAGTTCAACGGTTAAGAAGCACTGGCTTCGGTATGACTGAATCGCAGAGTCATTTTCAGAGGCAATCCTCACCTGCAAATTCTGAGAAATTTTCTCCAAGGTAGGGCAGAACCTAAAACCTAAAGCCAAACCAAAGGGAAGACACGTAATGGAGGGAAGACCACAGAACCTCTGCATAGGACCAAGAGAGTTTGTATTCTGGATACTCGCAGACCTTGCATTCCAAGGACAGATAGGAGAGAAGTAACTTGAACAGGGGTGGGTAAGATCTCCTGGCAGAAGGTGGGAGCTTTCAAGGAACATGATGTAAACATACTTACTTCTGGATATTGAGTTCAAGCAAATGATCCTCTCCAGATAGGTGGGTTTGTCCTCAAGAACACCATTAGCTGTTCTGTTTTGTTTTGGTGTATAAAAATACATAGGGTTGGCAATCTAAAACTTGGGTACATATTCTCTGGACTTATTTTCTAGGAAAGAACTGATTTATGATCTGCCATTAGGGTACAAGTTTGCTAATAATTATAACAATCTTGACAATACTCCTACATGGAGACGCATCCTGACAGATGGTTGCCTGTCATCCAACAAAAAGAGTTTTCATGGTGAAGTTAAAATTTGGAAGCAGGTGGCTTCAAGTTACTTCTCCCAGTTTTTCTTTTTCTTTCTTTTTTTCCTTTCTGCTAGCCCATTCTCTCAGATATTCTGGTTTCCATTTTAGTAACTACACTTTCAGAGGGAGATCTGCAAGGCTGCCAGGAAGCACACCCCTAAGCAGCAGGGAGTAGAGACCCTCCTGTCCCAGGCTAGGAAGACAGGCATTCGTTGTCAGACTCCCTGCATCTCTCACTGAGAGTGCATGCCTTAAGTGCAGCCACCCCAACCTCCTCAAGGGTGTAAGTCAAGGGGTCCCACATGTGCAGTCCTTGGCAGTAGGAAGTCCTTGCCCTTTTACACTCAGCAGAATGAAAATCTAGAGATGGACACAGGCTTTAGAGACTGTGATCTGGAAAAAGGAATAGTTTCTAGTTCACGGTAACCCTCCATTTTAGAAACTTGAAGTAATATTGGAATAGAAGAACAATCATATCTTTATGCTAAATAAATTAGTGTGTAGGCCATAAATTAAGCATATGGAGCTATGGTTGATAGATAAATAAAGGGAGTCTTTAAAAAATTCAGAAGTATATCTACTAGCATTTAGTGTCAATATTAAAATTAAGGGCAGAAAACTAACACATTCATAAAATATAAAAATATTCATGAATAATTTCCATTTTTAAATCTAAGAGTGACTGAAAATGAAATAAGGAACGTAAGCTTTGAGATGTTACAACTTTCGGATAGCATGAATTATTTATCAGCAAGTACTACTACAGGTCAGTGAAAATATTCCTATGATGCCAGAGATTCAAGCATCATCTAAGCATCCATTGTTCACTTCAAATATGAAAACAGTGTATGTCTTGACAAGAGCTGATATGGGTTCTCATCTTCCCTTACTGAACACCCAGCACTTGAAGCCAACTGTGTATCGCACTGCTTGTAAAAGGAGTTCACCACCATCTTTTTTCTGTGAGACAAAGTCTAATCACTGGAATATGAACTCATATTCCACAACCTTAAAAGCAGCACCAACACAGCAGCTTAAATCTTGAGGACAGACAGGAATGAATTATTCTTAACTAATCCTTTGTAAGCTTCGTCTGATGAGCTCACTTTCTGGTATAAACATTAATTAACATTGTAAAAATCATTATGGAATACATCATATTGTACACCAGCTCTTCAGAGGGTGAATTAAGTTTTCCTCAAAAGAAAACTGCAGTGCTTATCAACAGGACAAGAGAGAGGCTGGCATTTGCTCACTCATCTCTGCCTGTTTACCAGATCCTAATATTTCACTTGGTATATAAACTCCTCAGTAAATGCTGAATGGCAGAACTGATTAGATGGCCCATGAGTCAGAAAACCTTTTCTGTCTTCCAACTTGTCATTTCTCTTCTTTGGCTCTCACATCAGGCAAAAAAACTGTAGTGCTTTAAACAGTTACCCGCCTTCTTTCTTCTGGGAAATGTCCCACCTGAGCTTAGTGTTCTCAGTACAACTGGATAACCTCATCCCACTCAGAAATGGGCCAGATCCCATTGGGCTGTACATTCGGGGGTGAGCTCTTCCAGTCCCATGTCTTGACAGGAATCTTCCAGGTCTTACCATAGTTGGCTTCAATGTAGTCAACTGTTTCACAGGGAACATGGACTTTTATGTCTACAAACTCAGTCCAGCACAGTGTAAACTTGGGAAACAGATACCTGCAGCAAAACATAGCAGGGAACATTAGGGCAAGCAACTCAGCTGTTGTGCATCTTCAAACCTGCCTAGCACCCCTTTTGTCTTTCAGGATTAATGCTACTCCAGTCTTCCTCTTCTCGTCTTTGTCAATCTGAAGGAGAGTTAATCCCATCCATAAGCTCCAAAGATGAGAAAAAATACAAACCAAACTATAAACTAAACCAAATCCAGGCCTAGCACTAGCCAAGTCACAGTGATTCTACAGAGACGGGAGCCCACCAAGATTAGGCAAATCAAAATCTGCTCTGGGATTTTGCTGGGAAACCTGGGGAAAGAGGTGTCAAGCAGAGTTTCCACAAGATGTAAGAAATGGTCGTTTTCTTCTCTTGCATGATGTAGAGTTCCAAGGATATGGACTGATTCCAGTAACATCCTCTAGGCTTTTCCCTTGCTCTACAGACAATAACTTTAATTTCTACCTCCCTTTCCTCTTAGACTCTAAAGAACGTCTCTAAACTTGCCTAAGAAATACCAGTTAAAATGAATTTGCTTGCATCTGTTACAGAACTGTAAGAATTTGTAAGCTTATGAATTAACCAAAAGTAGGCAGTTTTAAAGGTTCTTTGGATAATGATGGGCATGGCGATATATGGTTCAAGACCAGTGTTAGTCATATAGTGACTTTGAGGGCAGCCTGGCCTACATAAGACCCTAAAAAAACACAAAATATTTAAATAGGTACTTCAGATTAAGTATAAATTATACATGACATATTACAAAGGAAAACTAGAAGTAGCAGGTCTGTTTAAAGTTATAGAGCTCTATGTTTTCTGTGTTAAGATTTTCAATAAGAATTCTTTTTTTTGGCCGGGCGGTGGTGGCGCACGCCTTTAATCCCAGCACTTGGGAGGCAGAGGCAGGCGGATTTCTGAGTTCGAGGCCAGCCTGGTCTACAGAATGAGTTCCAGGACAGCCAGGGCTATACAGAGAAACCCTGTCTCGAAAAACCAAAAAAAAAAAAAAAAAAAAAAAGAATTCTTTTTTTTTTTCACAACTCAAAAGAACTTCCAGTAATTAATCCTGAAATGGAAACAATAGGGACCACAAGAATCTAATATACCAGAAAGCTAAAGACAGAGTAGAGGATTGAGAAAAGCTATCTGTATTTGATTATCATGTTTACCACCAAGTGAACCCCAAGAATGGATTCTGCTTTTGAATATCTCATCTCACCACTAAAAGAAGTACTTGAAAGTCTGTCTGTTCTTGAAAAAAAAAGAAAGTGTGCCTGAATAAATTCTAAAGAAGGCAACAAGTGCCTCTATAAAAGCCTCTGGGTACAGGCGGTGAGCGGACAGCCCCACCCAGCTGGCATCTATGAAAAGATTGCCACATAAAGTCTCCTTGCTGAGAAAGAAATAAGATACTCCTTAGAATCAACATCTGCTGGTCCCAATTTTACCCTGCACACTCATATCCATGGAATTACTCATTCTGTCATGAGACACATCCATTCATCACTAGCCTCCACCCTCCGCAATCACTTGCTGGTCGGCAGAATGTCCACCTGTCCCACACCATCAAGTTGACACAACGAACCAGAAGTGAGGCAGACATGATCTCCCTTAGTAACAGCAGCCAGGAAGCATCTCTCTTAACTATTAGTTCTACAGTCTCATCGTACAGCTGAGAGAGAAAGACCACAGCTTTAGAATACACGTGGTAGAATACTGCATACTACACAAACAATGCTTGGAACAGTGAAGAAGAATCTAAGAGCAAACCCAGAACATGTAAAATACCATAAAATACCGTGAAACACCGTGAAAACCGTACAGCAACAATTCAACTCTGGTGTTAACTTTTGTTCCTAAACCTGCTCTCTCCCAATCCACAAACCCTCTGTGATTTTTGTTTCTCTGCTTCTCTTCAAAGAATATCTTAGCTTTCCAGAATAGGGAAGATAAACAAACCATAAAACGTTGTAACTAATTATGAAGTCAGGCCATGGACAGGAAAAGGGCAGGAAGTCACACAGAATAGCACATGCCATATACTTTGCTTGGGTCACCAGTAAATACTGATCAATTCTAAATCTCTTAGTGTTACCTTGGATTCAAAAGCTATGATTAAGTCTGGCAGAGCAGTCTGTACTTTAAAGCCTTAGGATGCGATTCCAAATGGGAACAGGTTTAAATTTAGACTCCAGCTCTCTGACTTAGGCTACACATTTAGGAGATCTTGCTACCACAGAGACTTCTCCCATCTGTTCCCAACTTGAGCCACTTAACTTCCCGCTGCTCCCGCCTAAAACGGCAGTTAGAACAGTTGCTGGATTGGAGAGAGCTAGAGGAGGGTATTTTTATTTTCCTCCAAATTCTTTAAAACCAATAAAGCCACTTTGGGGTAGTTAAAAATAATTTTGTCAGCTTAATTGTACTATCTATGAACATAATTGCTAAATGAGAAGCAAGCTTTTCCAGCACCCCAGAGCAGAGTTTATGGTGTATTAAGAAGGCTAAGTGAGACAGACCCATTAACTACAACGGAACTTGACCTTTCTACATGGAAGTCTGCATTAAATGCTGCTATTGCAAGAGCAAACTCCCCTTCCCCCAGAATTTCTCTCAAGACAACACAAACTAATGTTTATCAACATTAGCACCTTATGTCGGCGGTACCTCCCAATTTATCTGTTTCCAGTGTCTAAACACCAGCACACTGCTTGCTTAACAGGAGTCAACAAACACTGCTTCTTCTGACTGTAACGGAAAAAGCTTCTGAAGTTTCACCATTGAACATGATGCTCACTCTAGATTTTCATTATCTTCCATTCATAAGTCAAGGATACCCCATAACCCTTTTAATTCAAATTTTCTTAAAAGATTTTTGATTAATTATAGAATTTATCTTATTATTTTTTAAATGACATCAATTCAGTCACCAGCCCACCCTCCAACCCCTTGTGGCAGGGCTAGGGATGGGACACCAGGCTTATGCATAGGGAAGTGTTCCCTTCAATCCTTTAAGGTAAAGAATCACACTAAGGCGTATGCACTATGAACCTGTCCTTTTAACATGTTTTCACCTGGGCTTACTGTACTATTTCCCTGCTTAAAACTTTTCTGGGGCAGTCCATGCCTGGGTTTGCCAAGGCCCACGTACTGAGACTCAGCTGCTCTCTTCCTGTGTTTATAAACAGGCTTCCCTGCAGGGAACTTCCAGTATGAAGACATGATGGTCAGTTTACTTGTAAACTATGGAGGTCTTGGTAACCTTTGGAAGGAGAAAAAAGGCTTTCTGGTTATAATTCAGTTTCTTGACTGGGTATAGGCTATGTGTATCTCCCCCCGCCCCCACCAAGTTGGGAATAGGCTATTTGTATCTTCCTGAGTCGATTCTTGTTTATACTGTCTTACCTTTTGTTTTTTCTTCCTTTTTACCATTTTCACATCTTGCCCCCATTGTGATCCTGCTTGGTCTAAGGTCTCCCATACTTTTTATAGTATTTTCTCGTTGCCAGCACAACCCAGCGAGAAGAATAAAGGGCCAGACATCTTGGGTTTGGGGAATAAAGGTTATCATTATTTATTCCACTCTCATACCTTGATCAATTGTGCTAAATGTCTGCTATACAATTTCAAAATTAATTTTTAAACAAATCAGCATGTAGAATTGGTCTTTTAGTTTTTTTTTTAATTAATTTCCTTTGGCTTGTTTCCTTTATTTTCCTCTGTTAGAATTCATTGATCTATACTGGTCTTCATGTAAATCCTTAAGTTGTATAAACGTTTAAAAAAATGTTTATCTTTACGTGAATATGTCTGTTTGGGTGTATATGCATGAGTGAATGTGAGTGTGTGTGTGTGTGTGTGTGTGTGTGTGTGTGTATACACAGAATTTAGAAGGGGTCAGGTCCCTTGAAGTTGAAGTTGTAGGTGGTTGTGAGCTACCCAACTGGGTGCTGGGAATTGAACTCATGCCCTCCTCTGGGAGAGCAGCAAATGCTCTTAAGCACTAGGCATCTCTTCAGACCCAAGTTTTACAAGTATTTTTCAAGGCTACAAATTTATATTTACTCGCTTATATTCTGTTTCAGTAATGTGCAAAATATCTTGTATTTTCTACTATAATTTACCTTTTTACTCATTTTAACAAAGAATATTTAAAAAGTTTCCACATATTTAAAAAATATTTTTAAATTACTAATTTGTAATAAATTCCATTATGGTCATAATAAATAATCACATCTTTCTCCTCTGTAATTCATTTATATGGAAAAACTTATGCTCACACACCAATGAAAAGTTTTATTAATGTTTGTAACATATATAATACATGATAGCTTCCCTCTGGATTTTTGTCTTTTTCCTTCTGTGTGTGGGTGTGTGGGTGTGTGGGTGTGTGTATGTGTGTTTAGCACATGCATGCTTGTCTGTGGTTATCAGGAATCTTGCTCCCTGTCTCTCCTGTATTCTGAGGCAGGTCTCTTAATCAAATCCAGAGCTCACAATGGAGCTAGTTCTTTTCTAGCTACTTTGCTCTGGGGAGTCTTTCCTATTTCTGTTGTTCCTTCCAAGGATTATAGGTGAACCAGCACGACCATCGGTTCTAGGGATCTGAGCTCTGCTCTTTGGCTTGCATGGTAAATGCCTTCACCACTGTACCACCTCCCCAGCACAGCTTCTTTTTTATATATATATAATTTATTTTTTTCTCAAATCGTAATTCATTCACACAGGGGTTATAAACACAAAAAGGCAGGATGTGGGGAAAGGAATGACACTGGAGCATGGGTGTTCAGGGGGAATACAGATATCTTTCAGAACATGGTATCAGCTGGGTGAAGGTTCAGGGGACAGGTCACTATGACTCTGCCTATGACTCGATTGTCCTTATCTAAGTTGGTATTGTCTGCCAAGGCTACCTATTTACAAGGTCTATGACTACTCAGGCTTGTAGATTTCCACAAAAGTTGCCTGTTTACATTAGCTTATAGCCATCTGTTTCAATGTTTTTC